AAAGCGGTGGCTAGGAAGACCACAGCGGTGGCCATGCATATGGCCACTGCGGTAAAGTGGACTTAGGCAGTGCAGCATGAGCACGCAGACGACTGTCGTGTGTCGTCAAGGCGTGGGTTGCCTAAATGGCGAACTAAAGGATTTCCTAAATGGATGTGAAAATGGCTTTCCTAAATGACGAACTAAAGGAAAAAGTTTATATGAGTAGCCTCAAGGATTTGAAGTTAAAGATAAAGAACATATGATTTGTAAGTAGAATAAATCTATCTATGGACTCAAGTAAACTTCCAGACAGTGGTACTTCAAATTTAATGAAGTTATCATATCCTTTGAGTTTAAAGAAAACATTGTTGATCAATGTATATATCTAAAGAAAAGTAGGAGTAGATGAATACTACTTGTGTTGTACGTAGATGATATTCTACTTACTAGTTCAAATCTTAGTTTATTAAAGGAGACCAAAGAATTTCTATCAATCAACGTTGATATGAAAGACATGGGTGAAGTCAATTATGTAATTGACATAGAGATTCATTGAAACAGGTCTTTGGGTATGCTCAGGCTGTCTCAAAAGTCTTACATATCAAATGTGTTGAAACGATTTTCAATAGAAAATTACTCTCCTAATAAAGTACATATTATTAAAGGTAATAAACTAAGGAAATTACAAGGACCTCTCTTTGATGCGGAGAGGCTTGTAATGAAGGAAAAACTATATGCTGCTGTAGTTGGGTCTCTCAACTATGTGCAAACATGTATCCGTCTGGATCTATCATTTGTCACAGGATATCTCGGAAGATATCAAAGTGACCCTAGCCTGATGCACTGGCAAGCTGCAAAGAAGATTTTACAATATCTTAAAGGAACCAAAGATCTAATGCTCACATATAGGCGAATGGATCAACTGGAGGTCATTGGATACTCCGACTCAAACTTTGCTGGATGTTTAGACACATGAAGATCAACTTCGGGCTATGTATTCTTACTTGCTGGAGGAGTTGTCTCATGGTTTAGTACCAAGTAAAGGATAGTTGCAGCATCCTCAATGAAAGCTGAGTATAGAGCTTGTTTCTAGGCATCTTCGCAAGCTATATAGATGAAGCACTTCATCATACAATTAAGTGTTGTGAACTCTATACATAAACCCATAAGGATATACTTTGATAATAAAGTTGTCAAATTCTCCAACAACAACAAGAGCTCGAGTGATTGTAAACACATGGAGATTCAGTTCTTAGTTGTGAAGGAGAGAATTAGAGATCGATTAGTGTCAATTGATCATATTGGAACTGACTATATGCTAGCTGATCCTCTTATGAAGGTACTTTCACCGGATACCTATAGTGGACATGTCTATAAGATGAGGTTAGTCAGTTCCCTGAAAGATATGACATGTATGTAGATACTAATGTAATATGTGATATCACGTGTCTGATCTCTGAATACAGGTATGTAGATTTCCATCACCTCCTCCTCCTGATCCGTCTTCCCTTCCCTCTGATCTTCCCCACCCTTTTTAATTATGACCGTTCTTCTCTTTTCTCCTCGTCGCCGGCATTCTTCCCGTCTCTTTGACCTCTTTCCGTTCGATGGCCGACCCTGAAGCTCGGGGGTAGATCGAGCTCGGGCTTCCCGATCCCCAAATCGACCTTGGGACCATCTGGAAGTAAGATCGCCGACGAGAGTGGCGGCGGCGGCGGCGGCTGCAGGATTAGTGACGGAAGGAGAACGTGCTGACCAGTGTTGATGAACAGCTCAAGCAGTCATTCGTAAATAAGGAGGATATCTACAGGAAATCTCGCTGGCGAAGTTATCGCCGAAGACCGTCCCCGAGATAACTGGCGGCTAGTCGAGTATCACGAGGCACTCCTGCAAGGACGAGTTTGGGAGACAAGAAACGTAGGCAGTTACAGGGAGTAATATTATTTCACGGAGTCTTTTTCAATTTACCACAATTATTCATGAACGGACATAGAACAGGCAGACAGGAAGAACGGCGGCGGTGTGGAGATACGAGTTGGAAACAGCAGGAAGAACGCCGATAATAGAGAAGGATAGGAAAGATTGGAGGGAAGGGACCAAGGATCAGGAAGAGGAGGCAAAGAGGTGTGCCCCCAGGCTGGGATTGGTTGTGGTGTAGCCGCCGTCCACAACAAGGTTATGGCCGTTGACGTATCTGGACTCGTCGCTGGCCAGGTAGAGCACCGCCTCGGCGATGTCCTGCGCCTTCAACGCCGCGGCTCTCAGGACGGAACACTTCTCCGTGACCTCTTCCATGGCTCTGGCGTCCATCCCGAGGAAGCTGGAGGTCAGGAACGACGCCAAATAATTGGGGGAGACGCAGTTGACCCGCACGCCGTAGTGGCCCAGCTCTACGGCCGCGTCCCTCGTCAGCCCCACCACGGCGTGCTTCGACGCCGTGTAGGGGATCGTCGCCATGGCGCCCATGACCGAGGCGATGCTGGCGGTGTTGATGATACTGCCTCGCCCGGTGGAGGCCATGGCTCGGCCCGCGTGCTTGATGCCCAGGAAGACGCCGATCACGTTCACCGCAAACACCTTCTCAAAGTCGGACCTGTCGAAGTCGAGGTGGGACCTGTACTCCCCGACGGTGCCGGCGTTGTTGAACATGACGTCCAGCCGGGCGTGAGACCTCAGGCTGGTCTCCACGGCGGCCTGGACGTCGGCCTCGGAGGAGACGTCGCAGTGGACGTAGGAGGCCATGCCGCCGTCGCCCACGATTTCCCTGCAGACCTCCTGGCCCATCTCATCCTGGATGTCGGCGATGATGACCTTGGCACCTTGCCGGGCGAAAAGCCTGGCGGTGCTCTCTCCGATGCCGCTGGCGCCGCCGGTGACGATGGCCACCTTCCCCTCCAGCCTGCAACCATGACGACGGCGACGAGGCTAAATGGTCCGCAAATCAAAGAGAGAGTCGAGGGCAAAAGTAGAGGGCAAATCATCGGAAGCTGCATACCGCCTCGCCAGGGAAGACAGAACCGCGGAGCTATTCATGACGGCCAAGCGATCTTCCGGCGTAGGAGGCCAACGAATTCAAGTTAAATAGCTCGACTTTTCAGGCATCACTTTTTAATGTAGAGAGAGAGAGGAGAAATGGCCCACGTGTGACGCGTTTTTGCTTCACGTCATACGGATCAGGTAAGAAGCGTTGTTCTACGAGTCCCAATTGGGCATTTATATTAACACCAATTGCTCGAATAAAAGTCAAAACTCTTATTTTGGTGACTTTTCTGGGCCAGTTGGATCACCGGTTAGAATTAACAGGGTCAACCCCGCCTCAATTCCAGATTCTCGATTTATCGGATTTGGTTCTTGCCATTCGATTCTTCCGGTCGAGTAAGGTCTAGATAGGGTAGAATCATTGGCACAGTCGTAGACAAGGACTAATAATAGGGCCGAGATCTCAACCAAGCTCTCATCCCATGATCAAAGGCAAGGTAAGATCACTCACATGCACATTATCTCTAGAAAAGAATGAAAGCTCGATGGTATGGCGGAAGGCCCACATAGAAAACGAACGTAGGTGGGGTAGAGAGTAGCTTGTCCCTTCTCCACATGCATGTGCTGTGTGAGGCTCCTCACCATGTGATGGAGCATCAATTGAGGCCCCGCGCAAGGTGAACAGACAGTGACGCCTTGTCAACTTCTCAACACGTGGTGCACAAGAGCAGAATAGATAGGTTGGCAGAGTTGATGGCCTAGTGTCTATTCGATTGGAGATGAAAGTTGACTTCTCACTTACTGTTGTGAAGGGGAGAGGCAGTAGTGCGTAAGGTACGTAACAATATTAAGGGACATGATCATTCTGAAGCTAATGTCAGTTGTTAGTTCTACGTTAAACATAGGAATATATCATGTTAAAGTCTCAGCGTATTGAATGAAAAATTGGTTCTATGTTCTAGAAAAGATTATATAATTAGGATAGAAGACTATATACACTAATTTACACCACACTAAGATCCTCTAATAAGATATTCTACATTACATATTAACCCGATTTAATTATGACGCTTGGTTACGAGTTGATGACTGCAGCCAGACATTGATGACTTAGCAGACGTAGAACCTGGTGGTCCATGACATTATTAATGTATGATGTGAATTAGGTAAGAAGAAATAGATCAACTCACAGAAATAACATAGACATAAGGATTTATGTGGTTCTTTGGTTAGTCTACTTCCACGGGCGACGACGAAAGCTCCACTATATGAAACAAGAGTGTGAAAGAACTCTCACTAAGAATCTAGGGAAAAATCTATGATCTTGGACCTCAAATCACTCAGAAAGGACAGATAATAAATATCTGATCTTAGCCCTCAAAGCACTCTACAAGACCCTAAAGAAAGATATATCTTCAAAACCTATTCCAAGCTTTCTCTAATGGGCTGAACAAATGAGTAGGGGCCCTTTATTTTTATGCACGTGTGGCCCGCGTTCAAATGGGCTGGTCGGTCCGTGAGAATCGGTTCGAAGGGACCATTTCACGTGGGGCCACCTGTCACAAGGTGAGAGGTCACACAGTGAGAAGAGGAGAGAAAAAATGGAAGTTCGCCCCCATTTTTTTTTCCGTTCTTTTCTCGTGGTCATTGCTCTTCCTGTTTCCTCGGTGCTCCTTCCACGACTCCCCAGTCTCTCGGTAGCCCTCAACAATTCCCCTTTGGCGATTTTGTTCCTCTTCAAATAATGGTCGTTGGATTTTTCTGCACGTAAATATTTATTTCTTCATCTGTAAAGTAAACCTGTGGTTAAATAGAAGCCCTTGTGATTCAAGGACGAGTTCGGGAGACAAGAAACGTAGGCAGTTACAGGGAGTAGTATAATTTCACAGTCATTTTGAATCTATCGCAATTATTCATGAACGGACATAGAACAGGCAGACAGGAAGAACGGCGGCGGCGTGGAGATACGAGTTGGAAACAGCAGGAAGAACGACGATAATAGACAAGGATGGGAAAGATTAGAGGGAAGGGACCGAGGATCAGGAAGAGGAGGCAAAGAGGTGTGCCCCCAAGCTGGGATTGGTTGTGGTGTAGCCGCCGTCCACCACAAGGTTATGGCCGTTGACGTATCTGGACTCGTCGCTGGCCAGGTAGAGCACCGCCTCGGCGATGTCCTGCGCCTTCAACGCCGCGGCTCTCAGGACGGAAATCTTCTCCGTGACCTCTTCCACGGCTCTGGTGTCCAGCCCGAAGGAGCCGCGGGACATGGACGACGCCAAAAGATGGGGGGAGACGCAGTTGACCCGCACGCCGTAGTGGCCCAGCTCCACGGCCGCGTCCCTCGTCAGCCCCACCACGGCGTGCTTCGACGACCCGTAGGGAGACAACCCCCTCATGGCCATGACTGAGACGGTGCTGGCGGTGTTGATGATACTGCCTCGCCCGGTGGAGGCCATGGCTCGGCCCGCGTGCTTGATGCCCAGGAAGACGCCGATCACGTTCACCGCAAACACCTTCTCAAAGTCGGACCTGTCGAAGCCGAGGTGGGACCTGTACTCTCCGGCGGTGCCGGCGTTGTTGAACATGACGTCCAGCCGGCCGTGAGACCTCACGTTGGTCTCCACGGCGGCCTGGACGTCGGCCTCGGAGGAGACGTCGCAGTGGACGTAGGAGGCCACGCCGCCGTCGCCCACGATTTCCCTGCAGACCTCCTGGCCCATCTCATCCTGGATGTCGGCGATGATGACCTTGGCACCGTGCCGGGCGAAAAGCCTGGCGGTGCTCTCTCCGATGCCGCTGGCGCCGCCGGTGACGATGGCCACCTTCCCCTCCAGCCTGCAACCATGACGACGGCGACGAGGCTAAATGGTCCGCAAATCAAAGAGAGAGTCGAGGGCAAAAGTAAAAGGCAAATCATCGGAAGCTGCATACCGCCTCGCCAGGGAAGACAGCACCGCGGAGCTCTTCATAACGGCGGCGAAGCGATCTTCCGGCGGAGGGGGCCAACGAATTCAAGATAAAGAGGTGAAAGTCAACAAACTTATTTAATGGGATCCACTTTTAGAATAACTTTTCAGGCACCACCTTTAATACAGAGGAGAAATGGACCACGTGTGGCATGTTTCTTGGCCAGCTGTGGCCAAGATAAGGGATTGGCTATTTCAGCTATTAGTGAGTGCCTGCAAGACCAAGATTAGGGATTCGTTCTTTAGGTTCTTGATGATAATTATTCTCTATTCTTGCCTCATTTTGTGGAAGTTTCATCATGGTCCTGAACGTAGACGACATCTGACCTCTGAATCAGGTAAATCCTTATGTAGATGCTCTTGTTGTGAATTGATTCATTTGTTCTTTCTTACTTCACATCATACGGATCAGGTTACCAATGTTCTACAAGTCCATATTGGGCTTTTGCTTTAACAACAATTGCTCGAATGAAACTCAAAACTCTTCTTTGTCAACTTGTGGGCTAGTTTGATCACTAGTTCAAATTAACAAGGTCAATCCTGTTTTAGTTCCAGATTCTCAATTTGTCGGATTGGGTTCTAGCAATTCGATTGTTTCGGTCAAGTAAAGTATAGATAGGGTAGAAGCTTTGGTAGAGTCCTAGACAAGGACTAAGAATTTGGCTGAGATCTCGATCAAATGCTCACCTCTTGATCTAAGGCAAATGCAAGATCACTCACATGCATGTTCTGCCAGGGAAATAGTGGAAGCGCAATGGTATCATGGAAGGCCCACTTAGAAAAATAATGTGGGTGGGGTAGAGAGTAGCTTATCCCTTCTCCACATGCATGTGCTGTGTGAGGCTACTCACCATGTGATGGATCAATGACCGAGGCCGTACACAAGATGAATAGACAGTGACGTCTTAGCAACTTCTCAACACATTTGGTGCACGAGAGCATAATAAATAGGCTGACAGATTAAATGGGTAAGTGTCTATTTGATTGAGGATGGAAGTTGACCTCTAATTACCTTTCTAAGGGGGTCAAAGCATCGGAGAAAGTAAGAGGGGTTACATGTCCTTATATAGAGTGGAAGAAGACGAAGGGCCAAAAGACATGGGAAGGCCAAGAGATATAGAAAGGTGAGGAAGGCGAATGACCAAGAGATATGGGAAGGCCAAGAGGCCTATAGTGATCCTTTGTACTCACATTCCCCCTCAGGTTGGAGCGTAGATGTCGACTAAGCTCAGCTTATATGATAATGTATCATATGACGCAACCCGCAAACCTTTGGTGAAGATGTTTGCAAGTTACTCTAAATATGTCATGTGTATAGTGCAGATAAGTTCATTCAAAAGTTGATGGTGGATGACGTGATATGCAATCTTGATATGTATAGTGCGTAGATGAAAAGTTGGGTTATTCGTTATGAAGATCGCTGTCGGATTATCATAATACATAGGCATAGCACCTTGCACTGAATAACCCCACTTCTGAAGTCGGTTGCACACCCAAAGTATGCATGACGACATATCTATTATGACTCGATATTCAGCCTCATTGCTAGAGGAACAAGAGACCCACTACTTGTGATTGAACCACATCAAACAAGATTTCTTCCAACATAGATACAATAGCCCATGATAGACTTCCAATTTGCACGATTGCCAACCAGATTGAAGTCTGAGTAGCCGACCACACGAAGATGTTTGTGGTGGTAAAAAGTGATCCCTCATTTAAGAGCATATTTGAGATAGGCGAGAAGTCTGAGGGCAGTCTCTCAATGATTGTATCGAGGTTCATGTATAGTTTGACTAAAAAGATTCACTATATAAGTGATGTCGAGTTGTGTGACAGTGAGATAAATGAACTTTCTAACTAGACATTGATATGGGTAAGGATTGACGAGGAGAGGCAAGGTTGAGTCCTAGAAATTTGGCCAACTCTTGATCGGAGATGCATGTGACTTCTATTCGAGCAGTCCCATCCCTTATGTTGATTGAGGACAATCTCCCCTGGGTGATTAACAAACTTTATGCCCAAAAAATACTTGGAGTTCTCAAGTCCCAAATATCTAGATGTTCCCAAAAGAAACATCTTGGTATCTTGAATGTCGGTCATATCACTCTTTGTGATAATCATATCATCTACGTAGACAGTAAGAATAATACACCTATTTGTGGTGGTCTTGTGAAAAACTATAGGCTCCACTTTGCATGTCGAAAAATCACATTGCCGAATGAGGGTGCTGAATTTGATGAACCAAGTTTGAGGACTCTTTTTGAGACTATAGATGGCTTTACAAATATGACACACTTTAACGAATTCCACCTCAATCATATAGTTGAGAGACTACTCTATATAGACGTCTTCATTTAGATCACCATAGAGAAAGGTATTAGAGATGTCTAGTTGGTGTAGAGGCTAGTTGAGGTTGACTACCATAGAAACAATCATACGTACCGAGCTTAGACGGACCATAAGAGTAAAGGTCTCCTCATAGTCGATGCCATACTGTTGAGAAAAACTGTGTGCCACCAATTGAGCTTTATGATGATTGATGTGACTCAGTCATTATATAGTAAATCACACAAATTTAAAATTTATAAAACTAGAAAAACTGATTTTTCAGATACTTAGAAGTATTTTTGAATAAATATATCAATTATAATTCAATAAAACTTCCAAAAAATAACAGTAATTTTCCAGTCGATCACAGGGAATGTAATATAATATCTGGTAATTATTCAGATTTTTTCTCAATGAATACAATTTTCTATGAATTTTATACTAGAAAATAAAAAGGAAATATATTTAAAATTCACAAAAAAGGGAAATAAGGGTGTGGAAGTCAAGATGACGTTAGTTCCCGACGAATGTAAATCAGATAGAAACAGAGTTCTGCTTGACGATTCTTACGTAAGCGATTACAGATGATTTAATTAGTCAAATTAAGATCTGTAAAAGCCAGAAGAATTGTAATTGAACGAAGTATATTTAAGTAAATTAAAATCACACAAATTATCACTAAATGAAGCATAAAGTAAGTTGAAAGCGGGAAAATAGAGTTTCGGCGTCACGGTGGTGATGCATCGGCGATACACCAGAATCCTAAGCATTTGGGAGGATCGTCGTGTAGTGTCCACGGCCTCGAAAGCTCTCCTTGGACAAGGACGACGTGGGCAATCTCTAGATCTCCTTGCGAAGTCTAGAGATCAATGAAGTGGGTCGTCAAATCGTCTCTAACGGCTATCACCCGGCGGAGCGGAAAAACGGCGACTTTGCGGCTCTCTGGCAGCTGTCACCCGACGAAGAAGAGTTGGATGGAGGTAGGGCGCGTGTTAGGGAGCTTCATCCTCAGGTCCGCACAGTAAGAGGAGGCTTTTTATCGCATCTGTTATGCTCTCAATAGGTGACGACTCGTCTCCCGGCAGATCGTCCTCTTTCCGACAATGGCTTGTTCATCAATCAATTGAAAATGCTTTACTCGATGGATTCACGATCCTTTTATCGCGAATCGTTCAACAATTTTAGTAACAATGCTCTGCGAATCGCGTTGATGAGATTTTCGCCGATGATCTAGCAATTCTGGTCGCTTAATCCTTCATCAACGATTTGCAAGAAAGTCGCGATAATCAGATAAAAATATGAATTTTGGCTTCAAGAGGATTTGAACCCACGCCGGTTGCCCCCCGCCGCTTCTGGGAAAGTGACGCGAGTTTAGTCCCACATCAGTTATGCATCGAATTTTCAGACGAATATATAGTAATGTTAGCTTTCTAAGTAAGTCACTTTCTAGCGCATGTACGACCACTCCTTGCCCCACAACCGGCTGTCCACTGGTGACGTGAAAAGGGAGTGGCGTACACGTGCCCTATCGGTCCAAGCCGCTCAAGCCTTTGCTCGTGGCTCCTCCCTGACTACGCTTCCAACCCGCTTGCGGGCCCGGCGGGTCCCCCCATTTTGTAATATTTTTATTTTTATTTCTTTTTCTTCATTTATCTCAAAAGTAAGATTATAAAAATCATATAAATTCATATAAAATCACATAATTACCCAAAAATTCACGTTAATCAATTGAAAACCACTTTTCACACTTTAACACAAATATAAGTCTATTTATCATGAGTTAAGGCTAAAACTATATTATTTACTAATTATTAACTCATAATAATGAAGACTTATCAATGATGAATAGTACTATCTGGAAGGTACTTGGGGTGTAAACTCATCTACAAGAAATAACGTTAGCGCCACGTGGTCAAGGAATAATCTCCCAAGTTCCCCGAATGATGAGAGCCGCATATTCCTCATTTGTGGCCGCCTTCTAGTGAGGTACTATTATACCATCCACGTGAGACTTAGGTATTGATTCAATAGCCAAGGATAAGGCAAACCCCCAATAAGATGGAGAGAGGCGATCATAAGAGACAAAATAAGAAATGGGGTGAAGAGTGCAGGAGCATGTACTTTTTGGAGAGTAATAGGCATATGAAGATCATCTAAAGGTGCTGAATTTGTAGACGGCATTGTGGATTGGTTGGGTACTTGGGGGGAGACTGGTCTAATAGTGGCTGCTGATGAGTCTTCTAGAGGCGGTAGAATAGATTGAAGTGGGCTAGGATCGGGAGATGGTAATGATAAGGGGATAGTGACTTTTGATGAAGTGTTGAGATTAGGCAATGATGAAAATGTCGTGTCCTCTGGTAGGGACATGAATGGAATTGCCAAGGAGGGCACTCTAAAGTACCTGGACTCCTTATGGAAGGTAACATTTGCTGATATCAAATACTTTTGCTCTCAGGGAAGGTAGACACGATATACTTTTTATGTCCGTGAGTAGTCAATGAAGACACTTTTTCTTGCACGAGAGGCAAGTTTGGACTTGCTCGAGGTGTGGTCGTGTACAAATGCTACATAGTTAAAAACTCATGGGGGGTAAAGAGAAGAGGTCACCTTTGGGGTTGAGACGATGAAAGGAAACTTTGTTGCCTAAGAGAGATGATGGAAGACGGTTAATGAGGTAGGTGAATGTGAGGATGGTGTCAGCCCATAGGTAATCAAGAACCCCCATCTCAAGCATGATGGTACAAGTCATGTCCAAGATATGCTGGTGCTTTCATTCTGCTATTCCATTTTACTAGGACATATGTGGACATGTTGTTTGATAAATGATCTCAAGCGATTTGTAGAGCTCTTGAAGTGTAGATTGTATAAACTCGAGAGTATTATCCATTCAAATGATTTTGGGCGTGATGTTCTACTAGGTCTGTACTTCTTGAAAGATTTCTCAAAGATGGAGAAGGATTGTAATTCAATCCATGAGAAGGTAGACTCATGATGTACGCAAGAAATTATTAATTAAAACCATGTAGTAGTGAAAATCAGAAACTAAAGCGACGCAAACCCCCAAACATCACAATGAATCAATTTGAATGACTGGTTGTATGGTGGAGAATCATACCAATGGTATATTGAATAAAAATATTTTCCAAGTTCACAAGATTCACATTTAAAACCACACCAATGATCCCGAAGAGGACCCTTGCGAGGGTAAAGGAGTAGTAGCTGGTAATGAAGAGATGGTAGAGTGTGGGTAGAATTTGCCTAGAGGAAGTGAACCTGGTCAATCAGATGGATAGCCAAACTTTTTATAGCACTTGGTCGCCTACTAATTGGTTCTCCCATAATGTTTACACAGAGAAAGGTGACCTCAGCCCAAAGAAACTCCATCACCATTCTTCCCTTTCCCACCACGAGGGGTAGGGGCCCCTCCTCATCTTGCTTCTTGAGTAGTAACCATCATAGTTAAGGCTTTGGGGGCATGTGATGATATCTTTGATGATGTTGGAGTCAATGTGGAGATGAGAGGAGCTATTCGTTTGACTATGTTGAAGGTCTCCACTACATTGGAGGGTCCTGCCATTTAATAGAGAGCCTTGTACTTGTTAGACTCGGATTAATCACATCGAAATATGCAGTTATCAAGAATTCTTGACGGTAACATCATTGAGTGGTTGTGTTTGTCATAACAGGCTAATACTGATCAAGCAGATTGCTTAACTTCTGCATGACGAGAAATGTGGCGTGAAAAGGAGAGGCGGTGCTGTGGATCTTCATGATGTTTATGAAAACATCCATTGTAAAAGTAATATTGCCCTTAGTGCCAAAAGCTCAGTTGAGAGTATCCCACATTTCTTTAACCATGTCGAGAAATTTGATGTTGGTAGAGAGAGCGGGAGCAACAAGTTTGAGAAGTCACATCTAAATAGTTTTATCTCTGGCTGTCCATGCGGGGTGACGAGGATCATTCTCAAGAGGAAGAAGGTTAGTGATGTATTATCGACACCACTAAACACAAGAAAACAACAAAAGTTATGTGATCATTGAAGGTAATTCGTACCTCATTCGTCAAGCACTAGACATAGATTTGGAGCTGAGTTAGAACTCCATTGGGCAGGACGTGGACAGCTGCAAGTGAATCAATCGAAGTTGTGCTAGCATCAGTCTGCATATTTAGCGAAGGCACGACAGAGTCCGAGTTGGCCATGACGCCAAGTGGTCGTGGTGCGAGGGAAGACGAGAAGTCGTCGGGTGAGAAGATGAATAGTCTCCTCCCACGATGAGGAGAGCCACCACTTGGAGATCCATCAGTTGAAGATGGGAGATCCATTGGTTGAGAGATTCAGTTGGAGGTAGGAGGTTCTAACACCAATCGGCTTGGAGGAGAACCACCAAGAGGAAGAGGAACTATTGGCTTGGAAGATCTGCTAGTTGGAGTCGTCAGTTAGAGAAATGAGGAGATGATGATGGCATAAGCTTGTTCTTTAGGAAGAGACGGCGTGAAGAAACGTGGAGGTAGTGTTATAGATGAGGTGGAGCGGAACCTAGCTTTGATACCATATATACAAAAATTGAATATGTTCCCTTAGAGGGGGTACATATCCTTATATAGAAAGAAAGAAGAAGACAAAGGGCCAAGAGACATGGGAAGGCCAAGAGACGTAGAGACGTGAGGAAGGCAAAGGGCCAAGAGGCTTATAGTGGGCCTTCATACTCAAAAAGATCATGCTGAAGCTAATGTTAGTTCCACATTAAACATAGGAATATATCATCCTAAAGTTTAAGTGTATTGAATGAAAAATAATTCTACGTCCTAACACAAATCATATATCATACAATATATGAATTTATACACTAATTTGTACCACAATGTAAAACTTTAACACAAGAAGAACCTATAAAAAGATATTCTACATTACACATTAACTCGATGTAATTATCTTTTTGGAAATATTTCATTTAATACAACAAATATTCATAAACTATTGTCATGAAATATTTTCAAAAAATATTCATGTACCAAAAAATCATAATGTTTGGAGTAATCTCATAAGGTAACTTTAATTTATACTTAAATATTATTGATAGTATACATACTATTGTGCAACAACTTTGAAATTAGAAATACATCAACCTTGGGATATTTTATTATTTCTCAATGTAAACTTCATATATTTAAGTATGAACCTTAATATACTATACAATGTTACTTTGTAATTTCTCACATACTAAAACATGAACCTAAATATACTAAAAAATTAGTATCTTATAAGATTACAATATACTAAGTGTTAACCATAATATATATTTACTATTTTGTGACATGAGAATTATTGTAATTAAGCATCTATGGGCTCCAAAAAGGGTTATAAATAAATAATTCCAATAGAGATAAGGTAGATTACACTTTTCCTTATCTATAAGATTCTTCTAATTTTTCATATCTACTCACATAAAGGGAATTTACAATCTATGTGACCTACTTCTCTTTAAACACCATGCCCATGGGATTTATTATTTCCTTCAATATTACATTGATCATGAAGGCTTCTTCTAGTTTTCACTATATTTAATAACTCAATCCAGCTTAAGAAGTTCTCCCCAAAATCCTTCTTTGATATTCATGACTCTATGTCATTCGACTTGTATTATCAATACATTAATCTCTTTTAAATTGACAAATCAAGGTTAGATCAAGCAGACCACATTACAACTCAACTCAAATGAATGATTGAGACTTATTTGGATTATCTAATGTATATGAGTTACCACTACAAATCAAGTATTAAATCTACTACTAATAATTGTTGACATAATTTTCATCATGATTTTTTTCATTTTTTTTGTAAATAAAGAACTTAAAAGTAAATTGTGTAATAGACCCTTGCTCTTAACATTAAGTATAAAAATAAGACTTGATAACTTAAATAGTCATTAGAACTAAATCTGTCCCACATATATGAGGATGCATGCACTCATCAGAAGTATTTTTGAGAAATAGAGATGAAGCAAAAAAGTAACACCCAAAATATTAACATTTTTTTATATGTTTTTTATTCAATCTTAAGACATAATTCTTGAGAAGTATTTCCAGTCCCTAATGTGACCAGTAGCAATTTAATGTTCAACTATTTCTAGTCATTAGATGTTAACATTGAAGAATAAAATATAAACCCCATAAGGAAAGGACTCCACACTAGACTCGAGGATGAAGGGAGGAAGAGGTAGAATGGCCTAACTACCTTGATAACAAGATTTTTCATTAGCTGAGATCCCAAGAGACTAGAACAATTGTTGATGTCTAACACATTTAATTTTTAAAGATATCCAAAGGTCATAAAATAGTCAATGAAGGATTCATCTTAAGAGCTATAGATTGATCCTACCTTAGGAATCATTAGAAAGGTTTAAGTTTTGTATTTTTTTTATAGTTCCATTGATTAAGTTATGTGATTTATAGGAATCATTAGGAATCATTTTTTTTTATAGAAAGGTTTATGTGATTTAGTACCACACCAATTGATTGTGCCATGAGTTGAACAATTTAGTATATTTACTATCAAGTTTTGTATACCTTGATATGTCTAGTAGACCAAAGCATAATAATATTGTGAAAGACTATTTTTTTAAGATGAAGGCTTTAAGCTAAGTGTTGGAGTGATAGTCTCATGAAAGACAATATAGTGGGCATGAGCCAAAAATATAATGGCAAATTAATCACTTGAAGGTGATCCAATTGAAAACTACATGAAAAGAAGAACATTGTGATAATGATGATCATCATCCAATGTTAAGGAGTCCAAAGCTCTTGAGGTAGTATAATAGTCATGATATGAGGCATGCTATAAATATATATGTGTGCATTTCAATACTTATTTAAATTATATACTTATGCCTTTAAACTTCCCTATCCTGTTTTCATACTCCATTATAATAGTAATTATTATCACCTTGATAAGATAAAATATTATCTCATATTTTTGTATTCTTATTTCCATTGCATTTATATTTCAGATGTATTAGAAATAGACTACTTCATACAATACACTATGTGATTTAGATTATAATGGCTTAGAATCAATGTATTGAATTAGAAATAGACTACTTTACTACTTTATTAGGTTTATTCACCCTTTGTCTAGATGCTAAAAATCATTACCAAGTCCTCCACCATTCTCATAAAATTAATTATTATTTTTTTATTATATTTACAATTCACAACTTGTAAGGATTCAATCTTCATAGTGATTTATAATCTATTAGCAAGTGTTAGATGACAAAACTATGCTCTAAATGGTACATTCACAACTTGTAGGGATTCAATCTTCATTGTGATTTATAATCTATTAGGTAGTTTTAGATGGAAAAATCATGCTCTAAATGATGCATTCAAAACTTTTGGGCAATCTCTCCCCTTCCTTCGATCTTGATTTCTAGAGAATCTTCTTAACCATGAGAATATATTTTTTAACATAGTGGCAAAATAGTTTTTTAGTTTCTTTCAAAATAGTGGCAAGATCAATCTTTGTCATCACAAATAATTTTGGTTATTTGTTAAATTGATCAAAAAAACATGGATTGCTATAAAATTGAATGATGACTGAAAAAAGTAATAATCAATGTGGGTTTACCTTTCTTAGCAATATAGTTGAAGAGGGGTGAATTGGACTTTCAATATTCTTAATAAGAAATTTCCACACAAGCAAGCATGATCCAAACAAAAGTTTATAGAGATTCAACAAATCACACTTATTCTAAGTTCTTAAGTTCTATTTAAGAGTGAAACACATAGAATATATATTTTAACAAACCTAATGTAAATATATAAGCCTTAGGGATGCATATGCATTGAACTATGTGACTTTAAACACTATTTAGTGTACAACTTTGAATGTTTTGACTTCAATAAGCTTATGTGTTTAAGATTAAGCCTGGTCAAGTTGGCATAGTGTTAAGAATATGTTTTTACCAAATCACCTTGGAGTCTCTTTAGATTGAAAAAACTTCTTTTACACACATCTTATTAGGCCACAATGGTATTCTCAACTACCACTTGAGCAGTTATTGGGCCACACATGTGCTAAGAAATGGAGAAAAAAATAGCTATTAATTTTCTAGATTTTAAACATTTTAAATCATAAATTTCAATGCATTATTTATTAAATATTGTTCCTCTTCTAATTAGATTTATAATGATTGGTTGCATGTTAATTCATGTGACGACATCTTGCTACTAAAAACTTTACTCATTTAAACACCATTGTTCAACAAAAATATGATGAAAACCCTACCTAATGATACTATATAGAGATTAATCATTGATTTTATTATGAACATAATATTTTTATGAGAATGAGTCTATTTTTTGTTGAATTATTTTCATAAATTCACCTATATACATGAGTTTCACTTCTGTCAAAGAGTAATGTGACCCTCATCTTCTAGTGCTGAAGTAGTTTTGGTGGCACACTTCATGAGAGTATTCTAGATAAAATTGTAGGTATTTTCAGTCACATCGAGCACCATATGTCCAATTCATTGGGTATTTCTCCCAACATCTAGTCAATTTTTGGCCTTGCTCACAAAGAAAAAAATGTCACACAAACAGTGCTGCCCCATCTGAGCAATGCCTCAGTTGCAATTCTTCACCTGAAAAGTACAATCTCTTGGAAATCCGGTCCAGTGCAATCTGCTATAAGCTTTTGTTTTTGAGAATTATTCACCAGTTCTCAAATGGGTTCAAGTCCATGCTTCAATATTATTGGATCTTGATATGTCATTCATCTTGTTCCTTCAAATTTTTACATTATCAGTCCTGGTCCACTATTTTATATATTTGTTGTTGGATCTCATTGGATGCCTCTATAGAGCAAGTACTCTCTTTTGTTATTTTTTCAAAAAAACTCAAGGTTGCATTTTGTTGCCCTAGTAAATAAATGCTATCCAGGATATTCTTTTTATGTTTCTATTTTTTCCTGAAAATAAAGAAGGGCTCTTGTCATAGGCTTCTTATTACTGAACGCATGTGCTTGAGCCATTGTTCTTCCATTGACTTGCCATCAAAGCATCTAACCCATCAATCTCCTCAATTCTGATTTCAGGTAGTCTCAGTAGGATCCATCTACCTTAAGGATGCACACCACGAAGCATTTGAGTCTGCGACTTTTTTCAAGGTTCTTCTAGTAGCTCAATGATCATAAAGGGCTCTCCCTAGTAGTAAAAAGGCAAGAGTTCTCGACCACCTCATTAGCCATTTTTAATCATAATTGTGACATGCAACCATCTTCTTTCTCAATATTCAAATCGGTCATGCTAAACTTGTGTGATATGATAACCCTCCTCATGTCCTCTCTAAGCTCTGACTTCGACCTTTATAACAGGAAGTCAACTACCCCTTATGAAGTTCATGAAATTGGAATTTATAACTTGTTAGATAATGAAATTACAGAGATCTTCAATTGATCAGATCAAGAGAAGAGTGGGGATCACAATGTAACGCTGGTGGGGGTGGTAGCAGAGTTGTCAAACATGACTCTTGGTGATGCATTAACGACTGCAGCCAGATATTGATGTCTTGGCGTTCGAAAACCCTTGTTTTCCATGTTGTTATTAATGTAAGTGGTTGTTAGAGTAAAAACATAATATGAACTTGTGGAACACTGCTCACTCAATCTGTATGATGTGAATTTGGTAAGAAGAAATAGATCAACTCACAGAAATAACATAGACATAAGAATTTACATGGTTCATTGGTTAGTCTATTTCCATGGGCAACGAAGAAAGCTCCACTAGATGAAACAAGAGTGTGAAAGAACCCTCACTAAGAACCCAGGAAAAAATCTATGATCTTGGACCTCAGATCACTTAGAAAGAACTCAGATAACAAATCTCTGATTTTAGCCCTCAAAGCACTCTACGAGACCCTAAAGAGAGATATATCTTAAAACCTATTCCAAGCTTTCTCTAATGGGCCGAACAGATGAGTAGGAGCCCTTCATTTTTATGCGCGTGCGGTCCGCGTTCAAATGGGCCGGTTGGTCCGTGAGAATCGGTTCGAACGGACGCAGAACAAACAGACGGGAATAATGGCGGCGGCGTGGAGATACGAGTGGAAACAACAGGAAGAACGACGATAATAGACAAGGATGGGAAAGATTAGAGGGAAGGGACGAAGGATCAGGAGGAGGAGGCAAAGAGGTGTTCCCCCTAGCTGGGATTGGTTGTGGTGTAACCTCCGTCCACCACAAGGATCTGGACTCATTGCTGGCCAGGTAGAGCACCGCCTCGGCGATGTCCTGCGCCTTCAACGCCGCAGCTCTCAGAACCGAGCTCTTCTCCACGGCGTCTTCCACAGCTCTGGTGTCCATCCCAAGCGCCCTGCAGGCCAAGGGCGACGCCAAAATATGAGGAGAGACGCAGTTGACCCGCACGCCGTAGCGGCCCAGCTCCACGGCGGCGTCCCTCGTCAGCCCCACCGCGGCGTGCTTCGATGCCGTGTAGGGCAAAACCGGCAAGGCGGCCATGACCGAGGCGCCGCTTGCGGTGTTGATGATGCTTCCTCTCCCTGTGGAGGTCATGGCCCGGCCCGCGTGCTTGATGCCCAGGAAGACGCCGATCACGTTCATGGCCATCACCTTCTCGAAGTCGGACCTGTCGAAGTCGAGGTGGGGCCGGTACTCTACGACCTTGCCGGCGTTGTTGAACATGACATCCAGCCGGCCGTGAGACCTCAGGTTGGTCTCCACGGCGCCCTGGACGTCGGCCTCGGAGGAGACGTCGCAGTGGATGTAGGAGGCCACGCCGCCGTCGCCCACGGTTTCCCTGCAGACCTCCTGGCCCTTCTCGTCCTGGATGTCGGTGACGACGACCTTGGCACCGTGCCGAGCGAAAAGCCTGGCGGTGCTTTCGCCGATGCCGTTGGCGCCGCCGGTGATGATGGCCACCTTCCCCTCCAGCCTGCAACCATGACGACGGCGACGAGGCTAAATGGTCCGCAAATCAAAGAGAGAGTCGAGGGCAAAAGTAAAAGCCAAATCATCACAAGCTGCATACCGCCTCGCCAGGGAAGACAACGCCGCGGAGCTCTTCATGACGGGAAGCGATCTTCCGGCGGAGGGGGCCAACGAATTCAAGATAAAGAGGTGAAAGTTAACAAATCTTATTTTACGGGCTCCACCTTTAGGACCACTTTTCAGGCACCACTTTTAATTTTAATGCAGAGGAGAAATGGACCACGTGTGGCATGTTTCTTGCCCAGCTTTGCCTAAGATAAACAATTTGTTATTTGGGTTATTAGTGAGTGCTTGGAGGGACAAGATTAGGGACTTGTTCCTTGGGTTCTAGACGATAATTATTCTCTATTCTTGCCTCATTTAGCGGAACTTTCATTGCCATCCTGAACGAAAGAGGCCAGCATCTGAACCACATAAATCCTTATATCCATGTTTTTTCTGTGAGTTGATTCATTTCTTCTTTCTTACTTCACATCGTACGGAACAGGTTAGTAGTGTTCGACCAGTTCATATTGGGCTTTTGCTTTAACACCAATTACTCTAATGAAAGACAAAACTCTTATTCTGTCAATTTGTGGGCTAGTTTGATCACCGGTTAAAATTAACAAGGTCAACCCTGTCTCAGTTCCAGATTCTCAATTTTTTTGGATTGAGTTCTGGCAATTTGATTGTTCCGGTGGAGTAAGGTACAAATAGGGTAGAAGCCTTGGCAGAGTCCTAGACAAGGACTAGGAATTAGGGCGAGATATCAACCAAACACTCATCCCTTAATCCAGGGCAAATGCAAGATCACTCACATGCATGTTATGCCAGGGAAATAATGGAAGCTCGATGGTATTGTTGAAGGCCCACATAAAAAAAGAATGTGGTGGGGTAGAGAGTACCTTCTCCCTTCGCCACATGCATGTGCTGTGTGAGGCTGCTCACCATGTGATGGATCAGTGATCAAGGCTCCGCACAAGGTGAACACATTTGGTGCACTAGAGCACAATAAATAGGCTGGCAAAGTAAATGGGCAAGTGTCTATTCGATTGGGGATGGAAGTTGAATTCTAATTACTTTTGTGAGGGGGTCAAAGCATCAGAGGTAGTAATGTGTGAGTTACGTAGCAATATTAAGGGACAAGATCATGCTGAAGCTAATGTTAGTTCCACATTAAACATAGGAATATATCACGCTAAAGTTTAAGTGTATTGAATGAAAAATAGTTCTATGTCCTGGCACAAATGATATATCATAAGATATTTGACTTTATACATTAATTTGTATCACAACGTACAACTTTAATACACTAAGAACCTTTAAAAAGATATTCTACATTACACATTAACTCAATGTTATTATCTTTTTGGAAATATTTACTTAATATGAAAAATATTTACAAACTATTGCAATGATGTATTTTAAAAATAATTTTCCTGTTCCAAAATATTGCAACTTAAAGAGTAATTTTTTAATGTAACTTTGTTCATAGTGAAATATGGGAAAAAAGTGTAAACTCATAGTGAAATTATTTCTAATGTAATTTTCTAATGTTGTACAAAGACTTTCATATGGGAAACAAATAAAATTTGACATATTTTGATATTTCACAATGTAAACTTCATATATTTAAATACGAATCTTAATATATTACAGAATTTTACTTTGCAATTTCTCACATACTAAAACATGATCCTTAATATACTTAAATATACTATCTTATAACATTAGCATATTAACATTTAACATTAAAATACTTTAATTTTTTTCTACCTAAGCTTATAATAATTAAATTTATGTTAGTCCAAAAAAAGGTTACAAATAATGCCATGAGAGATGTTTGATTACATCTTTCTTTATGTATAAGGCTCTTCTAGTCTTTTCATTTTTACTTGCACATAAGGAATTTATAGTCTCCTTGACCTACTTCACTCTCTAAAGACCATGTTCTTGAGTTTTCACTATATTCAATACCTCTATCTAACTTAAGAATTTTTCTCCAAATACCATTTTCTAGATTCATGACTCTATGTCATTTGACTTGTATTATCAACATATAAATCTCTTCTAAATTGACAACTTTAGGTTAGGACAAGTAGGATAAGTTAATGCTCAACTCAAATAAATGACTAACACATTTAAATTACCTAATGTGTATGGGTTACCACTACAAATCAAGTTTTAAATATACTACTAATAGTTGTTCACATAATTTTCATCAAACAATTTCTCATTACAATTGTTGTAAATAAAGAACTGAAAATTAAAGTTTGTAATAGTCTCATGCTCTAAGCATTAATTATAAAATTAATACTTCATCACTTAAATAGTTTTTAGAACTAAATCTGTCCCTTATATATGGGGATGCATGCATTCATTAGAAGTATTTTTGAGAAATGGAGACGATGCAAAAAAGTAATGCCTAAAACCTTCATATTTATTTTTTATGTTAAATTTACAATATTTAGACATAATTCTTGAGAAGTATTTCCAATCCCTAATGTGATCACTAGAAATTCAATGTCCACATATTTATAGTCATTAGATGTGAGCACTGAAGAATAAAAAACAAACGCCATAAGAAAGGGACTCTGCACTAGACTTGAGGATGAAGAGAGGAAAAACTAGAATGACCTATCTACCTTGGTAACTAGCTTATTCATCAGTTGAGATCCCATGAGACTAGAACAATTGTTGATGTCTAACACATTTAAGTTTGCTACATTAAAATATATTCAAAGGTCATAAAATAGTCAAGGAAGGATTCATCATGAAGAGCTATAGATGAATCATATCTTAGGAATCATTAGAAAAATCCAGTTTAATTGATCAAGTTATGTATTTAATATCACACCAATTGATTGCACCATGGGTTGAACAATTTATTATATTTACTATCAAGTTTGGTGTATCTTGATATGTCTAGTTGACTAGAGCATAATAATATTTGAAAGACTAGTTTTTAAGATAATGGCTTTAAGCTAAGTGTTGGAGTAATAGTGTCATGAAAGACTATATAGCAAGCATGAGACAAAAATGTTGAGTTAAGGATTAACTCAAGAAGAGAAAACATGATTTTGATGCTTTTTAGGCAATAAGTTGATTATCTTGAAATTGATGATATTTGATGTGAATTGAATTAAATATTGATGTAGTAAATATACTAGTTTAAATTATTTAGATAATGAGCTGAGGTTTAAAATTATATGACTAAAATTATATTCTATTTCAATCTTTATCACATATATAACTATCAGACGATTTAGATATAAAGATAATAAAATATATGTGCACAGTGAATATGTTATATTCTTATGAGTAGGTCTATATATTTGAAGCTTTTTGTATCAAATGACTTCAAAAATATAAATATATCAGTAACCAATATGAAGGTCTATTAATAGGGAGTCAAGTGAAATAAATTTCAGAGGGAATTATCAATTCGTTAATTTGATGTTGATTTTACAAGATTACTGATTTTATATATTGACGTAAGGGCAAAATAGTATGAAAGTATGACCTTTCATACTAAAGTAATTTTTACCTCAGAAAATACATGATAGATATAAGTGTGGTACCACTCAATGAAAGGTCATAATTTAGAGATTAAAACCTTCCTAAATAGTCAGAGCATCAAGAGAGTTATGAATATTTCACTCTTTACGGTTTTTGTTTTCTATATTTTCCAGGATCCATGTACGACCCATTTTACCTTGACCCTTTGACACAATTAGGGGCAAAATGGAATGGTCCATCCTACCTATAAATAAGGTAGTTTGGCCTGCAACAAGAAGGCCTAAGAACCTAAGAATTTTAGGGTTAGAATTCAAGGTTAAGTGATTTGAGGCTTATGGAGCCTGATTATATAAAAGAGTCCTTGATTCTCATAAAATCAAAGTTGTATTCTAGGATAAAATAGTGGACTCGAGGTGGAGCCCTCAAAAGTGGATATAGGTCAAAGGAGTTGACTGAACCACTCTAAAATTTCATGTGAACTATCTTTTGTTGGTTTGTTTTATATTTATATATTAATATAGAGATATAAAGAAGATATTAATAGATGAAAAATAAAATATTTTTTTACTTAATCAGAAAAAAAATTAAAAGTCAATTCATCACACCCCCCTCTTGAATTATCTAACCATCTAGGGACCAACAAAAAATATAATGATAAATTAGTCAGTTGAAGACAATTCAACTGAAAATTAGATGAAAATAAGAACATTGTGATAATGATGATAGTTATCTAATGTTAAGTTCATTAGTATTTAACTTTAAGAGTTCAAATCTCTTGAGGTAGCAAAATAGTCATGTGTCACATTATAAATATATATGTGTATTTATATACTTATTTAAATTATATAATTATATGTTTAACGTTCCCTATTTTGTATCATATTCAGTTATAATAGTAATTATTATCCCCTTACTTAGGTAAATAATCTAATTGTGTACCTCGTATTATGCACATAATGACTAATTGTGTTATTATGATTTCCACTACATCTATTTCTGGATAACATGCTGCTTATAATGCAGTATGTTACTTAGATTAGAAAGACTTAGAATCAAAGTATTGAATTACAAATAATACATTACTTTCTTACTTAATTTGGTTTATTCCCCCTCATCTAAATGCTAAAAACCATTCTCAAGTCCTCTACCATCCTAATTAGAAAAATTATTATTTTTTATTATGTTGACATTTCACAACATTTTGTAAAGATTTAACTTTCATAGTGATTTATAATATAGTAGCTACTATTTGATGGCCAAAAGCATGCTCTAAATGGCACATCCAAAAATTTTGGGGAATTCTCTTCTTCCTTTTGTCCTAATTTCTAGATAATCCTCATAACCATGAGAATATATTTTTGAAGAAACAAGTTTTTGAGTTTCTTTCAAAATAGTGGCAAAATCAATGTGTTATCACAAATAATTTAGTTTATTTGTTAATGTGATCAGAAAAATTTGTGAATGATGACAGAAAAAGAAGAGTCATTTTTGATTTAGTGTTAGTAACATTATAGTCAAAGAGGGGTGAATTGAAATTCCAATATTTGTGATAAGAAATTTCAACACAAGCAAGTTTGATC